ATACAAAAACTAATTTAAAGTACATAAATGGATTTAAATCATAAAAAAACACAAAGAATTTAAATACTTTAAGATAATTTGTTGACCGAGTTGCTAGGTACCCATTTCTCATTGTTGACAAGCACTGTAATGTTTGTGCCAGAAAAATGTTTCAAAACTTCATAGTCAAAATCATCAATTCCATCACTTTGAAATACAAATCTTAGATCATTTCCAGACAATAAATCAAATTTATTAGCAACTACAATAGCAAATGACAACAAGTTTATAAACTCTACCGGAAAAAAAAATTGACAAAATTTTTTTTTTGGATTGTTCAACAGACCATATTTTCAAAATTAGAGACATTTTATACATACCAGTCAGAAATGATATAAATCAAAACAGAAATCTTTTTTTTTTTAAATATCTTATATAAACATAAAAATTTTTATAAAGTATTAAAAAACACTGTCATACAATAAATATTGAAAAGTTAACAAAAAAAGTTATTGTTATAAAACACTACTCTGTAAGCAATTAGCAAGATGCATTTATTCTTAATTGTTGATATTAAATAATTATAAAATAACAACAATGGTATTAATAATAAAATTACAACCACTAACAATAACAGTTAAAAAAAACGCCAACAAACATTTGATCACATAAGTTAGTAATCTTATAACGATGATAATCTTTACAACTATCTGCATTAATAACAATATGTTTAAACAAATTTTTTTTTCTTTGTACAACATAAGTGTGAAAATGTTTCTAGTGGATTCAACACTAAAAAAGTTATAGGTGTAGTATAAACAATACAGCTCTCTAAATTGTGGATAACTATTAACTATAGCATAACATAAAAAGAAACCTAGTTTGATTATATGTGATCCAAAAGTAATTGAACAAGCAACATAAACTTTATCAAATGTATTTAAACTTAATGATTCACATATGGTGTTCCAATTTCCACCTTCAAATTTCCAATAAAAACTTTATCACATTTTCCAAGCTGTTTATTATCTGAATACAATGAACTACTAAATAAGCGATTAGCAAGTTACAATTGATATAAATGCATGACAGAGTAACAGATGTTTTTAAAAATACATATAACTGAAGAAAGTTCTTTAGCAAAACAATGTTTTGCCTCAAATCACATACACCAATATCTACTTAATGGCTCAAACTTAGCCATACATTTAGGATAATGCGGCATTAAGTGATGTTTTGGGATTAATCTGTTTTCTGGGTAATTTAAAGTATTAATGATACTCTTCAATTAAAAATTCAAATTGAGTAAGTAAGGCCATCTGTTATTTCTGGAGCAAAAATAATATCTAAACAACTTAATAACAGAATTAAAAGTTTCCAATGGGGTTCTCCATCTGGAATATATTTTCCAATCATGAGAGGCAAATTCCATATCAAGCACAATGATTTAGCAGCTTGAATGCATAAATTTTGAAGATTTATTTATGGTGGTTTTTCTTTTTTTGTCTGCCAAGGAGTAAAAAAATTATTAATGGCATTATTTATATCTAAAATAGATAAATTTTTTTTTTGGTCAGATTCCATAACACTAGGCATATTTCTAAGAGCACTACTCCTTCTAACAAATCATCCATAGAATCAACAGTACTTTGTTCTACACAATGAAACCAGTTAAGACAATTTAAAGAACAACCAGTGTTTTAAAAAAGTGTTTTATGCCAGTTTTAAAAAGATCATAATCAGTTGATTGAGATTCAGTACACTGATTGTAGTCCGCTATTGTTTTTTTTTCAAAAGCTATTGACCTATCGGTTTCTTGCAATTTAGATTGAATACATTTAGAAAAACGACAAAATATGTGGTACAAAAATTTTCCATAAAACCAAATAAAGAATGTGTTCCTAAATTATCCGCTGAAAAAATGACAATTATTGCATGAGTAGTTACTTATTTTCCATTTTCAATAACTTGAACCCCTTGCTCACTTTCTAATTCTTGGAGTTGACACAAAACATTTTTTTTAATAATGTTATATGAATAGCTTGTAATATGTGCATCTAAAGTATACCGTAGTCCAATCAAATAAATACTGTCTGTCATGAACCAAAGAGAAAAAGACTCTAACAAAACATTTCGAACTTGCATGTATAAAGCCTCAAGCTTATGAACAATTGTGTGACTTCCTAACACATTTGGGACTTCAAATGCATCAATAAAAAAATGAAGTAAAAAAGTTTTTGAAGAAAAGGATGATTGTGAAATCTGTGTCTGTCAAAGAAATCTCTAACTCTTGTTGGAGTTGAATTAGGATTGCACATAGGAAATATAATTTTTTCAGATACAGACTCCATTATCTTTGCATAAGTCAATTGGAACAAAATAACATTTATCTTCTACAGTTACAGAATGCATTGATTTTAAAACCAGCTGAAAATCTTTGTTCTAATCGCATGCCAAGAGGTATTTCTACTGGTTTTACAAAAAAACCATTATCCACTAACCACTTCTTTTTTTTATAAATTGTATCAATGTTATTTGTCATATTACAAATGTTTTTCATTTTCATTAAAGCTTCATTGATACTTGCATTATCCTGTGTTATATTTAACTGGATTATCAGATCTTTAAGCGGTTGGGAACCAAAAAATGATATCTCATTAACACCTCATATTTTTCATTATAAATTGTGAGTTACTCAAAGTAATTTTACTCTGCAGATAATTCTGAAAAAATATTTATAACTAAAATTTCCAAATTAATGCATGTAGTTTGTTCTACATCCTTGGTAATATTTTCTGTATGATTAGTTTGGTATTCAGTTGTTATTTCTTCATCAGTGACATCTAATTAAAAAATGACAGAGTATTCTAATATAGTCATAATAATTTATATATATATATATATATATATATATATATATATATATATATATATATATATATATATATATATAGGTTTCTATCTTTGTTACTGAAGTTGTTTGTTTTCTTTTTTTTAAAATTAAAGTTTTAGTTTGTATTTCTATTAGTATGTATTAGTATATATCAAAAAAATCAACAACCATTATGACTAAAAAATTTACTATGCTGTTGTTAAATAAACAACTGAGTAGTATCAAATACGCTTTCAAATAGACTAAAAAAAAATTACTATGAAGCTTTCAAAAACTATTGTGGTAGTTTGAAACCTGATATCTTGCAATGTCATCTACCATCTATCTAGACACCTTGCAATGTCATCTATCATCTATCTAAACACCTTGCAATGTCATCTATCAAAGATCTATCAATTTCATCTATCTAGACACTTAGCATCAAATCTTTAAAATCAAATACCTTACAATACCAATTAATGAAAATAACAGAGATGTAACACAGAAGGGAAAAAAAAACTATTGATATAACGATTTTTTGTACCGACATAAATTTTTGTATTTAATGATATGTATCAAGTGCCTAATTCATCTGATATAATTGATATTAAATTATTCTGTGAAGTAACAAATGTACAAAATTATTCTGTGAAGTAACAAATGTACAAAATTATTCTGTGAAGTAACAAATGTACAAAATTATTCTGTGAAGTAACAAATGTACAAAATTATTCTGTGAAGTAACAAATGTACAAAATTATTCTGTGAAGTAACAAATGTACAAAATTATTCTGTGAAGTAACAAATGTACAAAATTATTTAAAAAACAAGATTTAAAAGTTTGATACTTCCATTCTCAATGTGGAAGAAACTTTGTGATTGGTGGAAAATTGAAAATATTTCGGCAAAGCTGTGTAAATTTGATGAAAATAATAAATCTAATGAATTTAATAAAAATAAATCTAATGAGTTTGATGAAAATTTGTGAAAACAATGAATCTAATGAGATACGTGAAAATTTACAATCATGTTTATCATCAAATGAAAAATAAAGTAAAAGAAAATTAAAAGAAAAAGAATAAAAATTTAAAATTAAAATGTTTTTAATAACTATTAAAAAAGAATGCAATTTTTTGTAAGTATAAAAATTTTTAATTCAAAATTTTCGATATTCAATTTTATTATTATTATTTTTTATTTAATTCCGTATTTGTTAGAATATTTTCAATGTTCATCAAAAATTTCTTTTCTTAAACAAATTTATGTAAAAATAAGTTTTGTTTTTTTTTTTTTTTTTCTTGTTATTATTTATTTTGCATTATTTCTTATGCTGATTTTGATTTGCAGATTTTATTTTTAGTCTGCGCTTGGGTTTTAAGTGATGCCTGGGTATAATTCAGAATTTGTTTGTTTTTTTTGTCCTACAATTTCCTTTTGGTCTAACTTTGATAAAAATTCCTTTAGGGAATTCAACTCTATTGCAAAAATACAAACAAAAAAGTTTACTTAACAATACAACAATTTAAAATTAGAAAGGCTAGTTAAACTTTTGTATTCTATTTTATTACCCCAAGTTTCAATGTGATTATTTTAGGACATCATTTACCATTAGTGACTAAAAATTTTTGAATTATGTGGATAATTGAAAAAAAGGAATATAAAAATGGTCAAAATGTTTAAAATCTGCCATCATTACGTAAAACAAGAATAGGACAAGAATATTCACAACATGCATTTGTTTTTAAAAATTACTTTCTGAATGTTTTTAAAGCGTTTTTTAAACGTCTTCTAAACGCTCTAAACTTTAGAATATTTAGTAGACGTTTAAAAAACGTTTTAAAGACATTCAAAACGCAATTTTTAAAACAAATGCCCGATGGGTTCTAATAAAACTTGCCTTTAACCAAGTTGTTCAATTCTGAGTAAGTTGAACAAGTTTGTCAATTTCGTTATTAAATTAAATTTTCGGATAACTTTTTGATTGAAATTACATCGGATAAAATTTTCTGAACTTTAATTTCTTCAATAATTAATTTTCTATTTTTAAAAGATGATTTTTAAGTGAGTAAAAAGTTATTTTTTAAACATTTTTTTACAATTAAAAAACGCTAAAACTAATAAAAACGAAATCAACTTTTTTGTTTCTTAGGAATGTTTGTACTGTATGATCTGTCACCGATGCTTGTTCAATACACTGAAAAGAGAAGGTTTACTTTATTTCACTTTGTCGCTGAGTATGGCTCCTTTACCTACTGTTATTGATGATAATTATTTTTGTTTTAGATCTTTCACTCATTTTTTAACTGGCGTCTGTGCTATTATAGGTGGTGTTTTTACAGGTAATTATTTTATGTTTATGACTTGTTAACACCTCAGAGAGTATTAAATAGCTTTTTTATTTATCTAAAACAAATAATACTTCTGAGTGAACGTCCAGCTATTTCAATTCCGCTCCATACCGTTTGAATGAGACCGTTACATTATAGGAGATTATCCTCTAATTTCAAACTCTTGTATCGATTTTTAATATATTTTAATGTATTGTTAAACAATTTTGCTTAAATACAATTTGTTTTTAAACAAAATTGTTTGCTTTTGTAAGCTTGAATACGGTGTTTGTTTTATCTGAGGATCGAATAGAGGAGGTTCCTCTGGGTTCAGATTTTAACATAACGTGTTCAAAATGAATATCCGTGTGTATTATATATTTTCAATGTTTATAAGTTTGTTACATGTTAATATTAAACACAAATTTGAACCTTTTGAAATCCGAACCCACCCCTTTCTCTCGTTCTCTCTTTCTCATTCATTTCTCTCTTTCATCCCATTTCTCATTTCACCCCTTCCTCTCAATGTTTATAAGTTTGTTACATGTTAATATTAAACACAAATTTGAACCTTTTGAAATCCGAACCCACCCCTTTCTCTCGTTCTCTCTTTCTCATTCATTTCTCTCTTTTTCCTTTTCTCTCTTTCTCATTCATTTCTCTCTTTCATCCCATTTCTCATTTCACCCCTTCCTCTCAATGTTTATAAGTTTGTTACATGTTAATATTAAACACAAATTTGAACCTTTTGAAATCCGAACCCACCCCTTTCTCTCGTTCTCTCTTTCTCATTCATTTCTCTCTTTCATCCCATTTCTCATTTCACCCCTTCCTCTCAATGTTTATAAGTTTGTTACATGTTAATATTAAACACAAATTTGAACCTTTTGAAATCCGAACCCACCCCTTTCTCTCGTTCTCTCTTTCTCATTCATTTCTCTCTTTCATCCCATTTCTCATTTCACCCCTTCCTCTCAATGTTTATAAGTTTGTTACATGTTAATATTAAACACAAATTTGAACCTTTTGAAATCCGAACCCACCCCTTTCTCTCGTTCTCTCTTTCTCATTCATTTCTCTCTTTCATCCCATTTCTCATTTCACCCCTTCCTCTCTTTCTCATTCATTTCTCATTTTTCTATAGAAAAAGTTGAAACTCTCAAGTTTCAACTTTTTCTATAGAAAATTGTGTTGAAAGATTAAAAAAAAACTTTTTAATTTTAAAAAATTATTTTGCTGATCAACAAAATTAATCGTATTTGTTATATTTATATCTCCTTATTCTTTTAGTTGCTGGTTTGATTGACTCCTTGGTCTACCATTCAGCACGCGCACTCAAGAAAAAAATAGAATTAGGAAAAACGACTTGAATATGTATAACGAAAGACTAGTGTAAACTAACAAACAATTTAGAATTTTCTACAAACAAGTATTTATTACCATAAATCAACTCATTACTTTTGTTTTTAATTAAACTCGATATTTTAGTTCCCCTCAAATTTAAGAACAATTTTTTCTATTTTATTAACCAACTTTAAAAAGATATCGGCTGTTCAAACTATAACTATAAAAGGTACAAAATGCTTAGATATAAAAGCAGTCGGTGAGGTTTGGTAATTACGACAATCTTTAAATAAGTATTATGAACTCTACAATACAATGGCATACAAGAAGAAGGGACGGAGGGGAATTTTAGTCTAGATCTAATAAACGGGAAGGTCTTAATAAAAAAGTGGGTGGGAATTTTTTACAGAATACGAATAAAACAATTTAATTCTTGTGTAATTCTAATTCTAATGCGCATTTTTTAAAAGCTGTTTCATAATTTCAGTAGAATTTAATATGCTTATATAAGGTATTATAGTGCGGTGAGAAATAATTAAAAATCTAACTTCTGACAAAAAGCCTGACAAAATGTTTTTATTCTTATCAGTGATTGATATATACTTTTTTGATTGGGATGTTTTTTTGTTGTTGATAATAAGTACAAATTAATAAACAGAGGGAAGGTTTTAATAAGCTAGGGGTGGGTGGAAAAAATGTCCAAAAATTAATAAACGTCTCCTCCCGTGTATTAAGCACTTAAGAGTAACTTGAATTTAAAACACGCTTGTGGTAAACGTAAAGTGTTTATAAATGCGTGCATTTAAATGTGAACGTGGTAAGCGTGAGTTCGTGCATAAAAGTATTTTATAAAATTGTCATAAGGTATTTTAGTTTTTTTAACTTATCAATTAAAGCGTGTCACGCGATTGTTATAAAAAGCTCGAATATTATTTACTTGATCATAAAATATGAGAAAAAAATGTTTTTAACACTTTATTTGCTTTCCAGAAATTACAATATTTTTATTGAAAATACAAAATTTTAATTTTTCTTCGATTACTTTGAGTTTCATTAGGAGCGATATTTATGTTTGGTTTTCTTTTCATTTAAACATAATCTTTAGTATTTTTAGTAAAAAATTAATGTATTTATCGGTAGTATACACCCTCGCAAAGAGTTAAAAATTTGTCGCACAAAGTTTATCTGTATTTTGCAGCCTTGCAATAAGTGAAAATGTTTAAATTTCAAAAACAAAAAAAGTTGTATGACGCAAAGATTTAAACCCAATGGTTTGTTTATGAATGGTTGTTGAATGAATTAAAATCGGCAAGCTAATCGAATTATTTCATATCGGTTTAAAAAGCTTACCTTTTTAAACTATAGATAATGCCCAGCTGTTTATAGATTTCTTTAACTTTTTTTTTTTTTCATTCCTTTGTTGTAGTTGCGTAGTCGTGTTATAAATTTTAACTATAAAAACTAGGATAACTAAATGACTTTTACAGTACCAGAGACAAAAGAGTAGCTGAAGCAACAATAAAACTTATGATCAGTTATTTACAGTACCAGAGACAAAAGAGTAGCTGAAGCAACAATAAAACTTATGATCAGTTATAAAACTAAATTGAGAACAAAAAGCGAGTGAAGATTTGTTTGTAATGAATCGAAAATTAAGTCAAAACATTTTGCACACTAATGATTACAATATTCGAAGAAAAAGTTTATTGGAAAAAACCTACTCCAGTGTTGACAACGAAACAAAGCTTATCAATGCAGTTGCTAGAGGAGATTTAGAAGATGTTAAAAACATTCTTGCAATACCAAATCTTTCAGTAAATGCTATTAGAAAACCAGGTTGGTCAGCACTCCATCACGCTTGTAAAAATGGAAATAAGGAGATCGTTAAATTATTATTAAAAAATGGAGCTGATATCAACTTGCGTTCTGAGGATAAACTATACCCACTAGAAATATCTACGCTTGGAGGACATTTTGAGTTATCTATGTTTCTTATTGAAAATGGCGCTATATTGCAAAGCATTGTGAATGGTATGCCCATTTAATTTAGGAAATTGTAAGCGATTATAAGGAATCTGAATAGGAAATGAATAGCAATTGACTTTGTTTACAAGTATTGATACGTCGTTAACCAGTCATTAAGTTTTCAAAAAAGACTATTTGTCTTGACTGAATACCGTCACATTATCGACTAGTAGATAAACATTTGCAAATTGCGTTGATATTGCTCGAAAGTTTTGATTATAACTAGATGGCTTGAAAAATAATTGACTAAAAATTGACGTTTATTTTATAAATTGCGGTTAAGTTTAGAAAAGTAACTAACCTGTTTATATGATAAATAATTTTTTTCTGCTTTTGTTGAATTAACGTTATCTCCTTTTCTAAATTTACTTAATTTTTAACAAGTAAAAAGCTTGTTTTGCTTTTTTATTAAAACTGACTAATTATAGATTTTGTTTTTTGTTTATTATTATGACATTTGTTAACCATTGGTTACATTTTGTTACATTTTGTTGGTTACATTTTGGTTACATTTTGTTAATCGTTGTACAGCTTTAAATAACTAAAAGTAAAAATATTACTATAAACTTACAATGATAGAAGATATAACAAATACAAACAAGGTATTTGAAGGAAGATCGCAATGATCAGAACCTTAAATAAGCATTTAACAAAGATAAAAAAAAAAATTTAAAAATTTTACAAAATTGCAAGACAAACAATCTGTGTCTGAAAAAAGATCAAGAGGATCTTCTCATCAGAATTTTATACAAGAATAAACCAACATATAAATTAAAAAGTAAAAAGTATAAGAACAATAAATAAAATAAGTAGGAATAAACTTCTATAAACCTAGACATCGTATAAACAATAAAAAAGTAGACCAAAATATATTTTTAACTTTTACTACTAATAATAACTCAATATATTATCTAATAAAAGATGAGGTTTTTCAGTTTTTTTTAAAAAAGGCAAAAAGTAATAGGTATTTCAAAATTAAAATTCCGCAAAACAATCAGCTTTTTTGTAATCGAATGAAATAAAATCCATTTTGTTTTATTAGTATTCAAGATTAACTTATTACACTTGTATCTTCTGCATACATAATGCTCGTTAGTTTTGTAGCTTTATTTAAGTTATTTATATAAATTAAAAAAAGTAGAGGTCCAAGAATTGAACTTGTGGGACTCCACAAGTTATATTAAGAAAAGTGGGTAGATAATCATTGTTAAATGGTACAAATTGTTTCCGTTTAGATAGATAACTTTTAAACCATTTTAAAATTCTATTTTTTATTCCGTAGTATTTGAGTTGATAAATCAAAATATGGTGATCAACCCTATCAAAAACAGTATATTGTGAATTTTTGAATGATTTTGAGATTTCACATACAAATATGATGATTGCATGTTCAGTTAAATTATCTTTCTTGAAACCAAAATGATTGGTATAAAGTAGATTATTATCATGAAAATATTTGTATATTCTGTTGAACATAATTGTTTCTAAAATTTTCGAAAATGTGGAGAAAACAGAACTATGGCGATAATTACTGATTTAAGATTTGTCCCCTTCTTTAAAAATAGGAATAATTTTTGCAATTTTTAATTGTTCTGGGAATACTCCTTGATGGATAGAAGCCCTAAAGATTTTAAAAAGAACAGCTTTAAGTTTTTCAAAGCAATTTATAACCTCGTTTCCATTATTTGATCTGCTCCAATTGCCTAATTTTTAAAAATAGATTTGAAGGCTCTTTCAAACTCATCAAACATTAGTTCGGAAGATAACTCATCTGAACAAATGCATCCAGGGGTTCTAGATAATCAGTAAACAAAGATTTGGTCTTAGGGATTTTTTCAGACAGTGTTGGTCATATATGTGTGAAATATTTGTTAAATTCTTAAGCTATTGTTTTTGGTTTATATAAACTTTTGTTATCGACTCTAACCATTTGTGGCAGGAAACCGGAGCATGGTTTTTTTTACCAATAATTTCTTTCATAATTTGCCCGGTGCGCTTTGTGTCTTTTTTTGCACTTTAGTTTGAGTTTGAGTTTATTCATTTCAGAAATCAATTATATAATACATTTATATATTTTGATGAGGTAGTGCTACACCAGGCACTTACATGATGAAAGAAGACACTCGTGTGTCCGATCATTCGTCTATTACAAATTTCAATTTATGAACACTAACCTTGAACGAGTTGACTGATTCAGCTCTTATGGCGTCTAAAGGTTGCGTATTCCAAACATTCACGATGCGATTAGTAAAGAAATTAAATCTTTCTTGACAGTTTTTTACCCTTTGACGTTCGAGTCGAAGATAATGTCCACGTAAGTTATATTTGTAAATCGATGGTGCGTAGACTTGAGGGCTATCAAAAATAATTTGATCAATACCTTTTGAAATTTTAAACTGTTGAATCAGATCACCTTGAACTCTCCTTTCTTTAAGAGTAGTTAAGCCGAGATGAAAGAGTCTTTCTTCATATGACAAATGCTTTATTTCCGTTATTGTTTTAGTGGCTTTATGCTGTACTTGTTCTAGAATAGCAATGTCTTTTTCATTGTGTGGTGACCAAGCCTGGATAGTAAATTCTAACTGGGGTCTTATATATGTTTTGTAGAGTACTTTCCACAAAAAGAGTCCACGACTTCTAAAAGTTGTCTTTATTCTACCAAGTTTACTGTTGGCTCTTGCTGCTGCTGATTCAACTTGATAGCTTATTTTAAGATCGTCTGATAGAAGTACTCCCAGATCATGTTTGTGTTTAGTGACGTCCAGTTGAATTCTGTTTCCACTCAAATCAAGCATCGAATAAGTTTGAGTAGATTTAGAGTATCCATGCCCGACGTGCATAACTTTACACTTATCGAAGTTGAAAGGCATATTCCATTTATGCAACCAATCTACAAGATTATCTATGTCAACTTGCAATGTTCTTTTGTCCTCCTCAGATTTTAGAACTGCGATTATTTTTCAATCGTCGGCATAAATCTTTATGTGATGAGTAATATAGTCTGGCAGATTGTTTATGTATAAGATAAAAAGAAGTGGACCGAGCACAGAGCCCTGGGTACCCCGCTTGTTACATATTTCCATTTAGATTTAGGCTTGCCGATTCCAACCCGTTGGTAACGATTCGTTAACCAGTTTGCTATCCAGTTTAAAACTATGCCGTTTATACCATAGGCTTTAAGTTTGTGTAAGAGTCTGACATGTGGAACTTTATCAAAAGCTTTCGCAAAGTCAGTGAAGATGATATCAGTGGCGCAGCCTTGATGCATTGCTTCAGTTAGTATATCCCGAGTTTCAAGTAAGTTCGATGTGCATTCTTTACTTTGTAGAAATTCGTGCTGTTTTTTGGATACTAGGTTAGTGCTAAGACAGTGATTTATAATTTTTTCATGTATAATACCTTCTATAACTTTGTAGGGTACCGATGTTAGTGAGACTGGTCTATAATTGGCTCGGTTCTGCTTGCTGACTTATTTAAAAATTGGGGTGACATTTGATCTTTTCCAATGCTCTGGAACCTGTGAATCGCAAAGTGATTTTCGGTAGATTATATCTAATGGAATTGCCAATGCTGACGCGCAGTTGTGTAATACTCGTGGGTATATGTCGTCAAATCCTTTTGACTTAGTTTCAATGAGCATTTTTAGTCTTTCTTGAACTGAAGTCGCCGATATGAAATTTAAGTCTATAGTGCAAGATACATTTGTACGTGATCCAAAATCTGGTAGTGAATCTGGTTTTTCAGTAGTGAATACAGAATGAAAGTAATTGTTTAGAATATCTGAAATAACTGCACCGTCGGTTATAATGTTTTTATTGTCATCTTCGAGAGGTTGAAGTGAGTTATTAGTTTCTTCTTTATTTTTGATGCGATCATAAGGTTTCTTTGGGTCATTTTTGAAAACACTAGCTAACTGATGTTCGTATCTTTTAATAGCTTTTTTATTACCTCTGATACATGTTTACAAGCTATTTTATGCTTACTCCTGCGTGCTTTATGTGTTTTAGTTCCAGAAGCGGCATATTGCCTCCAGAAATTACGTTTATGAAAAACCGCTTCCCTAACTTCCGGTGTGGTCCACGGTCTTTTTTTGCTTTGAAGGGAACAGAAGCCACTGGAATGTATTTGCACACAGCTTCGATATATTTGTTTACAAGTAGTTGGTAGTTAAAGTTTGCTGAATGACTAGTAAAGTTTTTGTCCCAATCGTAATCCAAATATAACGTGAATGAAAAGGGGTATCATCGTTATTATTTTGAGGTCGATAGATACATCCTCGGTGGAGTTTTTCATTACCAAACTTGATAACTCGCCAAAGTTGCTCAATGCTAGAGTCGTTTAGTTTTTTTATACTGGTTGATACAGCAAGGATATTAAACTTAATACAAATTGCCACACCCCCTCCTCGAATGCCTCTGTCTTTTCTGTGCAAATGGTATCCATCAATTGAGGTGCCTGATGTTTCATTGAACCACGTTTCAGCTACGAAGATGGCATCTGGTTTTAGTTCGTTTTTAGTTTATTAGGGTAGTGTTGATTCTAGCTTTAAGCTCTAGTATTTTGTTGCTGTTTAGGGAGCAAGGGTTGTTAGCCCAAAAGTAGATGTGGTTAAGTTTGGATGTTGCAGTATTGAGTAATGTTTGGATAGTTGCAGTATTGAGTAAAGGTTGTTGTGCGTATCTTGCGGGTTTGGGTTTTATTTTAAATTGTATAGGAGGTATACGCCTCTTTAGTGTAATAATCAAGTTCATATACCTATAATTACGAATAATATTCAATTTCATTCGTCATTATAGTAGTCATATTCTGTATAATAGTCAATTTACATAAGAATATTTTTGAAAAAAAGTCCAAAGGAGGGGGGGGGGCTACTATCCCATGCCCCCCCCCCCACCTTCCTAAAACTCGCTTCTGTTTCCAATGCAGTAGTGGTAGTGGTAGTTGGTCTTTAGATAATTTAATATTAGTCTCATTATAAATGCGTTTTATTATTACTTTTTTGGTACTAATGTTTCTTTCTGGGTTTGTTTTATTAAGTTTCAGGAATAGAGGAAAATGATCTGATATATCAGTTTTATGATACCTATTTGTATATTATTATTGAAAATATCAGTAATTATAATATTATCTATAAGAGTTGCTGTGTTTATTGTTACTCTAGTGGGTCGATTTATTAAAGTAATTGACCCTGTTTCAAAAATTGCATCATAAAAATTCTTAATTTTATGGTCGTCATTATAGAGAAAATAGTTCATAC